TCAAAAAGAGAGAACTTCCTCCATTTGTTCAAGTAGAAGTACTTCACCCAGGACAATCGTTTGTAAGTATGATCTTATTCACAATAACTGAAACAAAAATAGTGTGTGTGCATTTATAATGATAATAGTCCTTCAATAAGGAATCCTGCGCTATATCTGGCAATGTGGCACATAAACAAATACCACAGTGCAAGTACAATATTCAAAATGGAACTTTGATAACTTCTTTTAATTTGTGCAGTGTATACCTACAGACAAACTGGTATGTTCATAGACTAAAATGATAATCCATATTTGGGGCAAACGCTGGTTCTAGAGATAGTGACCTGTTGTGTTATACATTTCCATGAACATTTTTAATAGCTTTTCCTTTTCCTTTATTATCTCTTGAAAAACGTCTTTATCAGTTCATCACTAATCCCATTATAAATGGTTGATGTTTTTTTTATCAGCGTAATATATAGTTAACTTTTTTTTTGTAGGGTTTGCTTTCTCTTTTGGAACCATCACAAAGAGGACCATCAGTTAGTTTAGTGAGTAAAATGAGATCTTCTAAATTGTATCATGAATACGAATACGAATACTTTATTAAACCAATGATCTGCCCATAAAGGGCATGTTACATATAATGATTACAAATAGACATATTAAGTAAAGAAACAATAATGATAATGCTTATGATAATATGGATTTAACTATATCAGTTATTTTCTTATTTTAAAACATTTAGAACAAATCAAAGCCACAGTTTTGCATATTTCTTCATAAGTCAATTACACTGTTGTAATATTTATGTCATTGATTAAGACCAACATGAAAATTCCATTCTATGGTTGTTTTAATAACTTTTTAACTTGATAAATTATGTAAGTTAATCTAGCTCAGCAGGACATTGCTTCAAAGTAATTTTGTATGTGATTCGTCCTTTTTTCAAGTAGAATGGGTTAAGGGGAATCCATATGAAAGTTATTACATGTACGTGTTTGAAAGTGCACACGAAAGGCTTAATTAAGATCGATATGTTGATTTAGGCTAATAGTAGTTTATCATACTTTACAGGTGAGCGGAGAGTGCGAAGTCCTTGCGATCAACAAAAAGTTCTTCAATAAAAACTGTGATGATGCGATGAAAAGTTTGATTATTTTGAAGGTGAGAAATATAACAGTAGGACACTAATTTGTTTTGATAAGCAATTCACTGACAAATAAAGTATTCAATATATAGGACTTTTCTCTTTGCTGTGATATACATGTTGTGTACTCAACAATACATAATTTTATTTTGACCCAACGCTAAATTACAACTCACGTTTTTTTTTTATCTTGATTTTTCTGCAATACTAAGACAAAAAACCAAACAGACACACATATATATATTACAAAAAAGACACGAACAAGTACACATTTTTGTTTAGGGGCCAGCTGAAGCCCGCCTCCGGGTGTGGGATTTTTCTCGCTGTGTTGAAGACCCATTGGTGGCCTTGGGCTGTTTTCTGCTCTTTGGTCGGGTTGTTGTCTCTTTGACACATTCCCCATTTCCATTCTCAATTTTACGATAATTCATGCCATGTTACTCTCAGGCTAATAAATAGATACTAGCAGTTTCATCCGTATTTAAAATGAATGCAGTATATATGGTTTGATTTTATTAATCTCATTGAGGTTACACAAATGAGAGCTACCGTTTGTAAGTTTATGATGAAATACTGTGTATTATTCCACTGTATATTAAATTTGATAGCTAAATCAATGTTTGATTGGTTGAGACTATTCCACGTGACACTGAACAAAACTTCATATTCCCCTCTGAGTATCATATTCCACTCAGAACATCGGGACTTGCCCGTGCGAAGTTACGCGCGGTTAATATAGTAATGTTTTGAACGTTTTTAAATTGCGATGGTAAAGTCACTATCGTGTTCAAAATTATTTCAGACGTAAAATCAAAACAATAATAATAGATAATTATCTTTTGATCGGTACTGTTTATCAATGTTTTAAATTATGTCGTGTTCAATTATGAAAACAAGTGGTTAAGAAAAATGTATATAAATTATTGTTTTATGTTCAGTTACTTGGTAGTAAACAAAGTATAGGCAGTGGAATAAAACATTCATTTCCCTTGACTTAGGGAGATATGAAGATTTCTTCACCCTCGAAAAGTCATATTTCTCTCGGGCGGGGCCCTCGGGAAATATGAATTTTCTTGGGTGAACAAATCTCCATATCTCCCTCAGGCACGGGAAATAAATGTATAATATCGGATAATGCAAAATATGCCTAATAGTAAATTGAAATAAAAGAATTCGTTTGGTTTAGACTATTCGAGTAGCTTAGTGATTCTTAACATCTCAATACATGCATATAGCTCTGATTCCTTGCCCAGCTATGGCTATACTGTTTGTCCTTTTCAGTTTTTGATAAGTTTTTGGATTTTCAAATATTTTGGCCTCGATCATCACTGAAGAGATATTAATTGTCGAAATGCGTATCTAGTGCAGACATATTGGTACCGTTAATGTAAAGTACCATACTATGCACAAAACTGGAAGTGTTCAAACAATTACGTCGTATTGAGTTCATGTTATAACTATAACGTTATATATAAAACGTTAACAATTTGCTTCAATTGCAGGAAAAACCTTTCCCACCACAACAAGAGCTAGTGGACAGGCTAGATATATCCATGCAATGGGATGAATTCAAACAAGACACTGTGAAAGAGTTCATTGACAATTTAACGAGAATGAAAGAAATTAAGCGATAAATTGTTTAAGGCGTGATTAATATACTAATTTGTCTTTCATTTCATGTTTAACTCTTTTCTATAAAAACTTACAACATATAGTGATCTCATCGTTTTTTTGCTACCCTATAGGTTCATATGAGGAAATATTCAAGGTAGATTATCGCACGGTCACTTAAAAACATTAGATTGAATAATAACTTGCATCATCATGCACTTACCAAATTAAAAAAAGGAATTACAAATCATAAAGTAAAATCTGAAAAATAAAACCAAATGGAATAAAGTTATGAAGAATAGATAGAAGTTATGGACAAATAAGAAGCTTTTGTGTGATATGTTAAATCATGGCTTATAAAAATCAGTTTTGAAGACCACTGTCCGATCAATATATTTTCGATAATGATATTTCTTTTATCTCAATTACCGACATTTCAATTATCTTATCGAATTTTCTTTTTTTTTCTGGTGATCTTAAGTTTAAGACAACAAATCTTTTTCGGTTTTGTGTCCTAATGATATTTTCGAACGTCCAAGGGAATGGTAAAAAACATTAAAGATGATCGTTCAAATGCTACACTCTTCAGTGACATGACAAGGTAAAACAAAGAATAGAACACCTATCAAAAGGAGAGAGAAGATACCAGGGGGCAATCAAAAAGCGTCCAATAAAACTGACAACACCATGACAAAAAAAAATGACGAAAACAACAACAATTACATAACTTACTCAGAAAGCAACTTTCAGCAATACGACCACGCCAACCGAGAGTGAACGAATATGCTCCGGAAGGGTAAGTAGCTACCTGCCGCACATGTGGATGTCAGCTTAGTACTTGTGCAACTAAAATCCGGTCACAAGTTTATTCGTTAATGTCACAATCGAGAGAAATAGGACGGGACTGTATGGTTACGTTTAGTTGTAGATATATGGGATACACTGCAACACAGATATTCCGTTTACGTCAACTTAATGAAAAAGGCGTCCGTAAATCATTGATGCAATCAAGTCAAGTAAATGATGATAGGAAACGTAGTCTATGAAATATCGTATCAACTGGAAAATATAAACTCCATATGCCGGTGCTTTTGGAATGTTGCTACACTGAGATGGAAAAATTAAAATCATCTGTTTTGTCATAAAGTTTAGTGCTTCGGCTCGGTTGACAGTGTTTCTCTGGTAACAATCTGCTCTATCATTCTCTCAGCTATGTGTTATTTATATAATTAATACCAACAAAGTATGAGAGTCCTGAAACTGGTCCTCCGAGATGATAAAAAAAAAACACAAGATAACCAATATTTTTATATAAATAAACCACGAGAGCATCTTTGCGATATATGAAAATAAAACATGTAAAAGAAATAGGTTTAGTCAATATAGTTACTTATTCATTTTAACCATGAGTAGTGATATCGAACATTTTAGGGGGACTTATCAGAAATCTTCAAATTATATCAAATATATTTTCAATAACAGTATATGCTTGAAATGGATTTATATTACTTTATATTTTCACTAATAATACTAAATGTTCTGTCATCATTGTCTTTTAAATTTGAAATGGAAAGTAATCAACTATAACGTCATGTATATAACAACTATCCGTATGCAATAAAGCGCACATAGATCAAAAGTCTATTTCAAGGTTAATAGAATATAAGCCATGGGATAGAGGAGAATTTCCACCTCGTATTAAGTAAATAACCCCTTCGTATAAACCATCAAAATCTGGCATTTCAAACGATACACAACTGTCCCAGGTTAGAGGAGGGTTGGCGCCTTCAAACATGTTTAATTCGCCATATTCTATATTTGTCTATCCCAACTCAAGAGCCTGTAGTTCAGTGGTTGTCGCTGGTTCATGTTTGTCATATTTGTTTTTCGTAAATTGTTTTGTTATGAATTATGCCGTTAGTTGTCTCAATTCAATTGGTTCATAGTTTGTATGTCAGGGCCTTTTCTAACCGACTATAAGGTGTGGGTTTTTCTCATTGTTGAAGGCAGTATGGTTGACTATAATCGCTTACATCCACTTCATTTGAGCTTTGGTGGATAGTTGTCTCTTTGGCAATAATTACGACATCTCCTTATTTTTATACTGATAATATGATTGTCATATTTAAATATCATATGGTTTTACCTGATTTTTTTCAGTTCGTGAGATAACCAACACATTTATGAAATGTTGCTATTGATCCTACATACCTGACTGAAGCCTGTATATAAATTCATATTGAAATAAAAATGTATATTTATGTCCTCAACAATATTTATTTGCAAACTTTAACATAATGCAGTTATGTTTCTCATTTTCTTCAATAACTACACAACAATAGTAGCGGGATATAAGATTGCATTTTAAAAGTAAGCCTGAACGACTCCTTTATAGAGCAAAGGCCCATTTTCATGTAAGTACAGTGCTGGCCACACAATATATCGAACTTTATCACCACTCTGGACATATTCCTTGTATTCAGTCTTGTTATATTTTGTATCCACCTGAAGCTTGTCATCAAGGTACATCATTGGTTCCTGAACAGCCATATACCAACAAAGATGTACACATTTGTCAAAGAAGGGTGTTTTCATCAGTTCTTTCATATACTTTTCACTTTTGTGAGTGTAATGCCAATCATCCAGTATATTCTTACATAGTTTCTAAAACAAATGATAAAAAATTCAAACTTTATTGTAGCTCTTTTCAACTGATTATTACATTTTGTTCTTAAGTTGTGCTGTTAAACTACTATCCGAGGTTTGCGCGCTCGCATACACGTTTAATCCAGGCACATTCTTTATATGTATGCCTCAAGTCAAGAGACTTTAATCCAGTTGTCGTTGGTTGCTGTCTTTCATACTTGTTTTTCGTTTATTGTTTTGAAAATGAATCAGGTCTTTGGTTTTCTCGTTTGAATTGTTTTATATTTTGTCATGTCGGGTCTTATTATATACAGTATGAAGTTTGCACATTATTGACGTACGGTGACATATAGGTGCTTACATGTATAATTTCTCACGCTAATTAACCCATCGCTTGCTTATTTGCGTAATTTATAGTTTATATCTGAATTAATTCACACACGTTTTTGTTTGTAGTACAATTTGTTGTCTGAAGGATACCGAAGCAACGCGATAAAAAAAAAAATTTTCAATACTCATTTTCAGACCAGGTTCACCTCTTACTACTTTTTCTAATTAACGCGAGGAAGTTCATTCAGCATTCATCACAAATATGATGGACCGGAGCTATCTCAGTATCTGTACAGGTACAACAAATGTATCAGCCTTTTTTTTTACCTTTTAGCAACAATTAATGGCTTCTAATACACATATTTGAACAGAAGCTTAATTTTAAAATATTAGTTTACAAGAAACTAGAATCTGTCAATATTTGTAGTTACAAGCAGAACTGATTATGGATATACGATGTGAGGTTTACGTCAATGGGACAGCAACCGAACAACAAAAATAATCTCAAGACAACTAGATTACCACATGCATCCATCAATAATAGACAGGAGTCTATGCAATATGTCTAGCTCTAAATCGCTCAGAGGCGCCTTTTCAAATGTGAGTTTTAGTTATCGATGAATTCCATAAGGCGAACTTTAGATGTTACTTTTACTTGCGATAAAACCAGATTTAACCCACCGTTTTCTTCGGAAAGTGCCGGTTCCAAGTCAGGAATATGACAATTGCTTTCCATTGGTTCCGTTGGTTAATAGAGTCAGGTTTTATGGACTTCCCTCGTTTTCATTTTACCTTTTCGAGTTCGGTATTTTTGTCAATACTGTTGATTACATAAGAAATATTTAGGGTATTTTGTCGCACCTGTACACACACCGTATATTTTGTCTGCTTTAAAGTCTGTATTTTCGTTCTATATTAACTGTTTACCTGATATGTTATCAAACATTTGGCGAAATCATCCCCATGGTGTTTTCGATAGAAACTGATTTCCTTCCAACCAGGCAAATTTGTTTCAGCATTTTCCTGTTTAATGACAATTTACAGCTACTACTGAATTTGTTTCCCTTGCTGTTTTATTTATGAATTTCCATAGTTTAGTACTATTAAGTCAATATGAATTATTTGGTAATAAAAAAAGAATACGGAATTTAATATTATTCAAAGGTCATAAATCTCGGCCAATTTTAATTCACGAATAATGTTTGGTTCCCATGTTCAAAAATATTAAATGAATCAGTAAAACATCATTTGCTTTCAGTTTTTATACAAGGTTTACGAGATCCTTATGAAATTACTTCTAATTTGTATATATATGTTGTATAAGATTTTTTTTTCAATTGTAATTTGTATTTCTAGAGTTCAATGGAACTGGTTGTGTTACTTTACTTCTAGGAAATACATTCACTATAATTTTATCTCCTCATATTCAGGAAGTTGTGGTTTCCTCTGATTTTTGTACATTTATGAGGTTTTTGTAAGACAGTAAGTAAAATAAACAATTCTAAATCTATTTTAAGGAAAAAATTAGAAAATCAAGAAATTAATATTTTGCAAGGGACCTTTGAATTTTAACGTTTGTCCTAAATCATTATTTTAAAGTAAAAAAATATAAACTGACCCTTTTTGAGATTATTAATCCTGAATATGAGAAGATATGATTATAGTGAATGTATTTTCCTAGAAGAAAAGTAACACAATCAGTTCTATTGAATTATAGAAATACAAAATACAAAAAATAATCTTATACAACATATATAAGAATGAGTAATAAGTAATTACTGGTTTTTCTTCAAGGATGCATATGACTGGTATGCTTTGATAATTGTACATATTGAAAAACAGAATTAAATAACACATACATAGCCTTATTTATATACAGACTTGACATACAAATATGACAAACGTAAGTTCAGTCATGTCAATTAATTATTAACATATTGAAATGGTTTAACTAATAATGAAATGCTTCCCACAGCTGACTCACAGATATTTTAAAACAACCTTAATATTATGTTGTATTATTTTTCTAACATAACATTAAAATAAAATATATATGCTCTGGCCTATTTACCTATTTCTGCTCATTTTTATTTACTAATGAATACGGTTGAGGTAACACATACTGCATTGTTATATACTTACTGAGTCAATATTTAGATTCAAGCTCTCGGCAATGGTCTTTCGAATTGTCTGCGTCTGTTTGAGTGAAATTATCTTACATTCTTGGTAACAAAACTGAAGAAAAATTAAATATTTAAACAATAAGGCACAACGTCATTACTGTTCTATTATCATAATTCAGAATTAGGATTCAGGAATACTATTTATTTACACAGAAAAATTGTACTAGAGAATAAGTGTTATAATGAAATTATGCAAATAAGTCGATAGCATGAAATATCACAAAAAGTTCAAAGTAGGAGGTATGATAAAAGGCATTATTTGGCCCCTGAAATTGCAAAAATAACAAACTTATTCAAGCTTTTAAAACTATGTTAAATTATTTATAATTGAACAGATAAATGTAATCAGAACACTTTAGGACAGAAGGGTCACTTGTGGTGACACTATGAAGTCATACACATGTCGAAATTTACGTATATTTAACACAAAATTGATATTGGTCAAACTAGATATGAGGAACAGCTTTACCCAAAAAGATATTTTACTTAAGTCATATTAACATCTTTAATTTTTGCCAATACAAATTGTAGTATAATATCTGTACAGCTTTTGCTCATATTCAAATATCAATGAAAAGACCTCATACTGACGCTAATTAGGCCGCGTATGACGACACTAATGAACATAGGCAGTATGTTATTTGGTAGATTTAAAATACTTGTTGATTTTCAAATGCAAGGGGCCAAGGAATGAACTTATCATGCATTCTACCTTTTTCATTTTTTTTTACATTTACCACCACTTTGTATACATTCGCACCAATGAAACAAACATTGAACGCCGACCACAGCAGATGAGTTGTTCTGGTCACAGCATCATTCGAAATTCATAGAAATCTTGTACAGTCTGTTTTACTAAACATTGTTGTTCTGAATTATTTTACATACCAGTAATGTTCTGTACAGATGACGTACGATAATCTCTTCTAAATCTGATTTTACAAAGTCAGGGAAATGTGGTTTAATTAGATCAACGTTTACCATAGCATCTGTCCATTCATTATCATAAAGTTCCCCATATTTTTCACTAATTTTCATTGGACGGTTTGGATCACCAAGGTCTGTTATTCCCGGATTTCCCCTTGTCAATTTTTCGCCAGCAATACTACTTAATCTAAACAAGAATTAAAACAATAAACAATAAAGAAGCAATTTCAAAAAGAAAAAAAAATCAAACGTTTAATAGTGTTGGCAGAGGGGGTTATATTCGCCAATATGATATATCTAAAATTGAAGAAAACAGTGATTGTGAAATAGAATTTGATTTAACAAACATCATTCCTTAGGAAAGTATCCTATTGAATAGATTGTTAAATGCAAATAAACTCTTCATCTGTAGCTACCTCTAATGGTTAACTGTTAGTGTGCGAGGTTATCACCACCCCAATAGTTCAGTACTTCGATACTGGCATGCAAATGCTGATATATTTTTATTAAAATCTTTTGTTGGAAATCATTTGAAATTTTGGAATTTATTTCTATCATATATATCCCAGATTCCTTTACTCGGTTTGACAATTATTTGATTATATCAGCTTTATTACGTCATTTTTCTCACAGGTAATGGTTTTCATCTTGTACAATACTATTGGCACCGTTTAATATTATTGATATTTAAAATTGATTTATTTTTTTGGATAAACAACTTAAATATATCACAACTCGTTTGCTATGCCCGTGTCTGTAATGACGTTTTAGATTTCAATGAGCGTAATCTATGTATAACTAGTAAATTATTGTTACCACTAATTACTTAAAACCTTTACTAATCTCTTCCATAGATACAATGATTTGGTTTGCAAGCTTGGCTGTACCTGTAGAAAACTTATTTCATACGAAATAGCATATCCTTTTTTTTTTATTCAACAACAATATTGAACATGCTGTTAACATATTTCTTCACTGGTATAGCTATTTCAGTGGATATCCCTGTATATTAGTACCTAAAGACATATCCTAATTTTTACGTGAATGTTGTTTACCGAGCCCGGAAATTTAGATACGATCCGGGTAAACTTATTAATCACTTAAATAAACTTATTTTAAAAGGTTACCAATTCAACACTGTGATTAGACCTTTGAATACTGTTTTTAGTGGTATAAATATTGATTTTGTTATCATTCAATAAAACCATACTAAATATTATTGTTATACAGATATGCACATTCAAGCTACAACAATCTGTCGATACCTATGTATTGGCATTGCACAAGGTTATGTTTGTCTCTGACTGTTAATGACGTGTTTACACTAAATCCATTGGATCTTGGATGTGAACTGATTGATATTTTAGTCTTAAATACAGGATTTTTTGTTAGTTGTTTATGGCCTTGAACTTTCTGCCAGTAACTGCAAGTATGGCATGGTATTGGTTGCAAAAATTAAATATTTTTCATTTATATGGAATATTTTTCATTTAATTGGTATATTTCTTCATTTAAATGCAATATTTTTTTTATTTGAATGGTATATTTTTTCATTTAAATGCAATATCTTTTATTCAAATGGTATAATTTGTTATTAAAATGCAATATCTTTTATTTGAATGGTATATTTTTTTATTTAGATGCAATATTTTTTATTCAAATGGTATAATTTGTCATTCAAATGCAATATTTTTTATTCAATTGGTATAGTAGTTTTTTTTATTTATATGCAATAATTGCATTATGGGAAATTTTTTGACCTCACAAGGTCAAACTTGCAACAACGTTTGTGATTGGTCGGTAATTGTTTGGATTTCTCCCCTTTCTTTCTAAACATGAGTGACCAAGAATTAAATAAACGCGTCGGAATATCGCCCCTCTAACTAAATTTGGCGTTCATGCGAGTTCGTGCACTGGCTGTTAATGCCAATAATAATTATTAGTTTGACAAGTAATACTAATTAATTTGACACACAACCTGTTCTTGGATAGAAAGAGATGCCTGCGTGCATGGCAAAAACGCCTAAAATGAAAACCCTTTCTGAAGAAACTCCCCTCAGTCTACACATTGTAATAAAAAAAAAACCAGCTCGCGCCCCCCAGTAGTTCAATAATTACTATATGTCTTTGCATAAATAAGTATGCAGGGCATATTTCAAAACATATTTTTTCTTCAGGACTTTTAAATGATTTACTTTTCAATACTGCATTTGGAAAGGGGGGGTTATACAAGTCTATTTTGTGAAACAGTATATAATATAATTAAAGAATTGTACGTTTAGCTATTATCTAGACCCGTACAAAATGTATATAATAAGATACATTTAACAGGGGCGGATCCAGAACCTCTGTGTCTAGGGGAGGGGGGGGGGGGTCAGATCAGATTTAGATATTTGTATAGAGATGTATATATGCGAGTATTGGCAGTAATGGTTATGGTGTGTGTGTGTGAGGGGAGGGGGAGGGTGTTCAGATCAAAGATCGTTTCTATAATTCTATATCTTTTAGTTTTTACCATTTCACTCTTTTCTTTATCCTTTGATCTCTATTATATTTGTCCTAAACATGCGTGAAATATTTGCCACTGGACATAAGGCAACCAAAAAGCAATCAACGTATTTTTCATATTTCATCATTTGTTTATATGTTATCTATAGGTTTGGTCCCGCCCCTTATCTATTTTTTGCACATTATTCTCTCTATGTAAACCCAATTCCTGTCCTGATAAATGGTGACTCATGCATAGCATCATATGTGGTTATTAAAACAAGAAACATATTCATATTATAATAATTTACTGTATGCTTGGACTTATAGATAAATGTCATTAGTCCCAGATCATGTAATAAAGTAGGTCCTTTAAAAATATAATAGCATTTTAATGATGATTATATATATGTATATATATTTAACAATGCCAATTTTTTGGAAAAAAGGGTAGGGGCAAGGCGTTTTTAAGACATAGTAATAGGGCGCGTTTGTTTGTTCTTCGGTAGTGAGCCAGAAGAAGTCCATTTCTGTTTTTTTGCATTGGGAAGATCTTTTGGCTCTCTTCCATCTCTTCTTTTTTTATAGGTTGTTTAGACGGCAGAGGCACATAACAAATATGGCGTCGTTTAGTCTAAATGACATTAATAAATTTATGAATGCAGATATATTAGAATGTGAGCTGTGTTATAAACGTTTTTATGGTATGCCAGCCTTAGTAGGACATCCCTGTAGGACGATAAGCTGGATAAATATAAGAACTACACGGACAATAACAGTTAAGGGACTATTATTTGATATTCTAGGGATAGGATTTTGATTGATTGGTGTTTAACGCTACTTTCAACACTATTGGGCTATACCGTGGTGGTCAGTTTAATTTATAGATGAAGGATGGGGAAGGGAAGAGAGGGCATTATTATTCATTTTAATCTGTCGCTAATCATGCCTATTTTTCAGCTCTTATACCAGGCAACCATATTCATATATAAAATCCTTCTGTCCCCTACCCCAACAAATAAATAAATATCAAATGGTTTTCCTCTTATTTAACACAAGTTTAAATTGATTGATTGTTTGTTGCTAATTTTTAACGCCCAGTGACAAATATTTCATGCTTGTTCAGGAAAACACGAGTTTAGAAGTCAGGTATATAATATAAAAACGAAGAGATGGGATATGATTGCTAATAAGGTAACTATCCACCGGAGTTCAAATATGAAGCGGATGTAAGCAATTATAGACAATCGTAATGCCTTCAACAATGACAAAAACCTATTACTGTAAAGTCGTCTTTAAAAAGCCCGACATGAAAAGTGTGAACAATTTAAAAAAAACTAAAGGCCTAATTATACATAACAAAACAATTTACAAAATATCAAATATGAGTCGAGACATGAACCAACGACAACCACTAAACTACAGGCTCCTGACCTTGGACAGGCAAATAAAGAATATGGCAGGGTTAATATAAAAACGAAGATGTGGTATGATTGCATATGAGACAACTCTCCAAATTACACAGAAATCAACAGCTATAAGTCACCGTACGGCCTTCGACAATAAGCAAAGCCTACACCGCATAGTCAGCTATAAAAGGCCCCGAAATCACAAATGTAAAACAATGCAAATGAGATAACTAACGGCCGAATTAATGTACAATAAAATGAACGAAACTCAAATATGTATAACACAGCGACAAACGGCAACCACTAAATTACAGGCTCCTGACTTGGGACAAGCATATACATACAGAATGTGGCGGGGTTAAACATTTTAGCGGGATCCCAATCCTCCCCCTAACCTGGGACAGTAGTGTAACAGTACAACAACATGTTTGTGAGCACTCAACCCATCCCGAAGCTCTGACGGTGGTGTAACAGTCCAATAAAAGAACAACCTGCACTAATCAGTTGCAATTAGATAAACTCAAAAGATCGGTACGAGACACACAAAAAAAAACCTAATATTAAGACAATAGACACAAAGCACCGACATAAGAGTATTTGTAATTACTGGAAGTTTGCTCAAAGCTAATTACAACTAGTACTGAAATAAATCTTGTTCTCCCAGACTGAAGTATCAATCAGTACACAACGCGCGGCAAAGGATTTATTAAAAAAAGAAAACAGTCTGAGAAACGTCTGGTTTACGTTGTATATAGATATAAGAAGATGTGGTATGAGTGCTAATGAGACAACTCTCCATCCAAGTCATAATTTGTACATGTAAACCATTATAGGTCAAAGTACGGTCTTCAACACGTAGTCTTTGCTCACACCGAACCCCCCCCCCAAAAAAAAAAATGACTAGTGTAAAACCATTCAAACGGGAAAACCAACGGTGTCTAATCTATTAAAAAAAAAAACGTTATACATGCATATAGATCCATAAATAATGAAAGTTTTTGAAAAGTGGTGGTCCGAACGTTTTGACCATCGAAATTTTGAAATAGAAATAATAGTTAGGGCCAGAAGATTTAAGCAGCCAGTGCAGAACTCGCACGAACGCCAGATTTAGTTTGAGGGGCGATATTCTAACGCGTTTTTTAATTCTTGGTCACTCATGTTTAGAAAGAAAGGGGAGAAATCCAAACAATTACAGACCAATCACAAACGTTGTTGCAAATTTGACCTTATGACGTCAAAGAATTTCCCATAATGCAATTATTGCATATAAATAAAAAACTGCTTTACCAATTGAATAAAAAATATTGCATTTGAATGACAAATTATACCATTTGAATAAAAAATATTGCATTTAAATGAAAAAATATTGCATTTAAATGAAAAAAAATATTGCATTTAAATGAAAAAATATACCATTCAAATAAAAAAAATGCATTTGAATGACAAATTATACCATTTGAATAAAAAATATTGCATTTAAATAAAAAATTATACCATTCAAATAAAAAAAAATTGCATTTAAATGAAGAAATATACCAATTTAAATAAAAATATTGCATTTTAATGAAAAATATCAAATTTTTGCCACCAATACCATGCCATATGCAAGTACTCTCAGTCAGATCTTTACTTAGTGTCTTTTCTATTGTTTATTCTTATGTTGTACTGTTACTGTCTGTCATATTTGGTTTTTTTTTTTTCGTAAATTGTTTTTTATAAATTAGGCCGCTAGTTTTCGCAATTGAATTGTTTCATTTTTTTAATGTCGGGCCTCTTATAGCCGACTATACGGTATGAGTTTTTTCATTGTTGAAGGCCGTATGGTTAACTATACTTGCTCACATTCACTTCATTTGAACTTTGGTGGATAGTTGTCTCATTGGCAATCATACCACATCAGCTTATTTTTATATTAAAGACAACAAAAGAAAAACCCTTATGAAATAAGCATATACCTTGACTGCAATTCATCTTTTTCTTTCAATAAAGATTGAATTATTTTATCTTTATCATCCAATGAATCTCGGATTTGTTTATTCTGATTTTCGTAGTACAAAATGGCCCGTTCGCTTTCCATTTTCAACACATCTGCTGTCTGCAAGCTGTAAAATGTGAAATTGCATTTGATAATTTATAAAAAGTTTGAAAAAAATAGTCCCTACATTGCCTACGTTTTATGTTGTGATTAAAAGAATTTTTTCATATTTAAAACAAACAAACAAAATGAAGATATATTTCCGTGTTGAACAAAAACTTTCAGTCAATACAAAAAAAAGGGGGATGAAGTATGATTTCCCGAGTCAAAATGAAGTTTTAATTTGCAAATATTTGAGTTTTGAATAAAAAAGAAACATAATCATCGCTTGGAAATATTTACTAATTCATTATGTAAGAAAGAGAGGCGAACGATACTAAAGGGACATTCAAACTCATAAGTCGAAAATTAAACTGACAACGCCATGGCGAGGCATGTTTTACATTTAATACATGTATCTATGATACATGAAAATGAACTAGTACACATTTGTATTTAGGGGCCAGCTGAAGCCTGCCTCCGGGTGCGGGATTTTCTCGCTGTGTTGAAGAAAATTTGGTGGCCTTGGGCTGTTTTCTGCTCTTTGGTCGGGTTGTTGTCTCTTTGACACATTCCCCGTTTCTATTCTCAATTTTAAAACAACAGAAAAAAACAATAGGCAAGTCTACTAAAGATAATTATATGTTTATATACATGTATGTGTGTTTGTTTGTTTGCATTTATCAATTTTTTTAAACAGGTTGGCAGGGCAAAAAATCCGAAATATGTATTTTTGTAAACAATCATTTTGAAGAGACTACTTATATATGATTTGTTACAACGACTAACGGAAGCTATTTATTGGCATTTATACTACAGATATTGCGTAACAGTTAACAACGTCAGGGTAGTACCGATGCACTCACGAACATGTGTATTAATTATCTACAGTTAATTGGCATACTTAAAAGCAAAAACTCTCCATTAAAGAAATCCTAACAAAAAACTTAAGCTCTGGAATATTGTATCAATATTGAGTTATATTTTCAATCTGTAGGTTCTGCTGTTCGAAATTTAAATTGAATAAAGGCTCATCAAATATACCAGGCTTATTATTTGGTACGAAAGATGCACGTTTCATCCACATAAGACTCGTAAGTGGATCTCGAATCAAATAGTTAGGAGGCCAAATCAAATACGAAGTTGAATTGTTCTATTTGCGAATATGTTTGGAAATAATCCTAATCATAATGTCATCTCGTTCACAAAATGTATTCCTCGCGCATGCAATCTCGTTTGTAAGCTTGCTGCTTATTGAATGATTTTTTCATTCTTTTTAGAACTAATACTGTACCTTTGCTGTAGAACATTTACTTCCGTACAGGATTTACTGAGTTGATCTGTGATCTGTTTATTTTGTTTTTGAAGTGGTTTTGAAGATTTTGTTTCCATTTTTTCAAGCTTAGAATGCTTTAACGCTCTAATCTCATCTTCCTTTGCCTTAAGTTTTTCTTCATACTGTTGTCTATGGTATGAGTGAAAATAGAAATAATAGTATCAAAATTATTTTATTAACACTATTTTATTATCAAATGCTCAACAAAACCTACGGACCTCTAAGCTCATCATTTATTCGTCCAATTAAGTACCTCAATTTCGAATATGATTAATTCATGAAGGTACCACAGACATAAGAGCATCTTTTGCCTCATATAATCAGAATTTTTAGCTGCTGTTTATTTCTTTACAAGGAGCAAATAGTTTTCAATTTTTGAAGTTTGATTTTCTGATGGAATGATGGCAATATACTATAGTGATTTTTTAGGAAAAAGTTTTAGAAATGGTACAAAAGGAAAGGAATGATGAGGTCACTTTTTTATCCTAAAATTTGAAAAGTATTATAAACCTACCAAATTACTAAAGCATACTTCAGATGATCATAAAACAATAGTTTGACATATATCAGTATCTATATATCTGTTGGGTTCAGGCATGGGCACATGTATCTTATTTGTCCGAGACTATGTGTTAAATCGCCATCTTTGGTCAAATATGCCAATTTTGACATGCTCATGACCCAATGATGACATCAGAAGAGTCCTTTATGCACCAAAGTGTTTTGATTATAACAACTTGATAATTTATCAATAACATTAACTTTTTTTTGAAAGTTTTGATTAATTTGAATAAGTTTGCAATTCGAGGAGCCAACTAATGGTATCTAAACATACCTTCTCCCTTTCAGGCTATCATTGACAAAATTAAGTGTTACTTTTTTGCAACTGGTCTATATCACGAGGTGGTAAAAATGTATTAACAAAAATACCGAATTCCAATGTAACTTGAGAAAAAGGAGAAATTCAGAAAACCTGACAAAACCAAATGCTCAACTTTATCAACTAACGGAAGGAATAAAAAACACCATCACATTCCTGACTTTAGCTTGTTACAGTCATTTCCCGAAGAAAATGGAAAAATTTTATTGCTTCGAGGCAAGTTAGGGGAAGGGCATCTTCAAACAAATTAAAAACTATAACATTTTATTAGTTTTACCAATAATGAACGATTTTGTATTTTTTATCAGTTTTATCGAACCTCATTTAACTCAACAACATTAAATGAATTATATGTATAAAATAAGATTGAGAATGGAAACGGGAAATATGTCAAAGAGAAAACAACCCAACCAAAGAGCAGAAAACAGACCAAGGCCACCAATGGGTCTTCAACACAGCGAGAAAATCCCGCACCCGGAGGCGGGATTCAGCTGTCCCATAAACAAAAATATGTACTAGTTCAGCAAAAATGGACGTCACACTAAACTCTGAAACATATGAATGAACAAAAATAAAAAAAAAAAAACATACAAGACTAACAAAGGCCAAAGGCTCCAGACTTGGGACAGGCGCAAAACTGTGGAGTGGTTAAACATGTTTTGTGAGAACTCAACCCTCCCCTATACCTCTAGCCAATGAAAAATAAACAAACACACAGCAATAAGCACAGTACAGGCGGAAACCCAGTTGAAATAGAACAAAAGAATCGAAGCTCTTTGTTAGAGAAGGCGATAATTGATTACTGTAATGTTTACTATAGTAACAATTTTTTTAAAAGTTAATAGAAACAAATAAAATGACAGTTTTCGGCTAAATTACGAAGTATTTTATCATAAAAACACAATTTGCATAAGTTTTCAATTTATCTATTACATAATTAAGCAGAACAATTAGATATCAAGTCGACGACATGGGTGTCTATTCAGTTGGATCTAAAAAAATGCATAACCTCCGATTTTTTTTTTTTTACCACGGAAGGAGAACATATCAATCTTTTTGTTCCTTGATTTTCGTTTCTGCCCTTCCATTATGTAACTCAAGAAAAAATTAAAAAAAAATGGGTAACAATTGCATCAAAAAGATAAAATCGAGTGCACCTTTTTATGTTAGGGCGTGTTTGAGTTAAATATTTTGTCTTGAAAACGTATAAAGCAAGAGTATTTGATACATCATCTCGCTTCAGATTCTATTATTTTTATATATCAAGGCTACAGGTTGACTTTATAACATCGAAAGTTCACAGTACTAAAAAATTAAATATATGGGTCAAGTGAAATACTTTTCTAATGAATCACAAAAACAGAGTAGGTGTGTTCGAATGTTAAATTTTTACTAAAAGTACTTGACGACTGACTTTTAAGTTGGATCTTAAAAATGCATATCTTCGAAAAAACTTCATTTTTTGTGTGTGCTAATTAGGGTTTATAGTCTTCAACCACTGAAAATTTTTAGCCTGCCCTTCCACGAAATATTTAATTAGAATTTTTTTAAATGTTAATGAATTTCCGAAAATTCCACCTGACAACCGATCCGACAATAGTTTTAAGTTGACTGAATGCAGACAAGTACATTAACTGATGCTCATTAGCTAGTAGATACATTTGTCTTTTAAAATACACCTGGCATATAAGGATCGTAATGGTGTTATGTGGATACATTTATCGGTTTTCAAGAGCTAAATTGGAAGCGCGTCATCCCTACAATGGCTTCCATTTTTACGATTGTAAAAATAAACTTGCGTAATGGGGAGATAATTTTGACGAAGTAGAATCCTGACTGAGTAAAAATCAGTTTAAAAGAAGTCCGAGCCCGATGTCAGAAAAGGTAACAGAAGAACTAAGCAAAATGACAATGATACACATATTAACAAAAGTTTATTTAGCAGTTACTGACATGCCAGCTTCAGAACTCAAATGTTTGATTATTCTGAATTTATATGTCATGTGTGATATTTTACTGCTGTTTTACTAAAAGAAAAATTCCAAAGACACGAAGTCAAATACAAACCTTATCTTCATTAGTCAATTAGAAACACAATACATAACAATTTTATTGGCTGCTCATTAATAGTTTCTATTTGATTTATTCACTGTTGAGTATCAGCGGGAAATTTAGTGACAAAATATTACCTCCCCTGTAAATACTGAAAACAAGATTTTAGCAAGGACGCTATCAACTATGGATTTACTGGAAAATGTTTTGGTAAATAGCAAAAATAGAAATAAGTTGAAATAAAAACAAAACTTCCATTCAATGTTATCATTTCCCTCCTTAAGTAGCAAATGACGAGTACAGCAGGCTATAGAAGCTTGATGTAAAATTAGTTTAAAATGTTGCTATGCGAATAAATTCCTGGAGTACCAACTTCAATTTATTTTTTTACTGGCTGTATACCTTTCTGGAACATGCTAATTATCCGTATATATACACAGCTAGATCAGAGAAAGTCAGGGAAAAATTCCAAAGGAATCAATTGATATGCAGCAAAGATTGGCACTTTTGAAATTAAGTTACTAAGCAAATTCAAACGGACCTTGTATCGATGTAATCATTGAATGTGAATAGATCGAGAAGACGGCAAATACAATTACAAAAATCGAGACGACCTTTTATAAAAATTGTATTAAAAATAGTAGAAAGATACCTACTTTATAAAAATAGTTATCTTTAATTTCTTAACCAGCACATTCAGACTTTTAAATTTGTATATTCACGAAAAGACAATATTTCTCTATTGAATGTACATGTGACAAGAGCATACCGGTGTGCTCGATAACTTAGGTGTGAACAAATAAGTATACTTCGGGAACTTGTGACATAATTAGGAGATTGTGGAACACTCCGAAATTGGTGACCCGAATGATCTTTAGATTTTGTATGCTAATGATTTTTTCCTATTTTATTTTTTATTTATATGCAGCAAAGATTGAAATTTTTTAAGTTTCAGTTTCACAAGCTTCTAATGCATTTATCTCGATAAAAACTGACCATAAAACATCGTGTATTTGCATGTATATTTCTAATAACACAGTTTAACAAATAATTTCTTTAAAATGAACAATTATTATTTGGAAATAACTTTTGATCAGTATCGTCACCGGCATTGTTTTATTATTGACTTTCTCGACTCTATCATAAGAAGTGTGAATTTTCTTTTGTTTTCGTTCACTGGATATCCCACTGGTATAGGCTTGTGAAGATTTAGAGCTAAACAAAATGTATATACACATGCCTGCCTTTTGTTAAAGATACTATGTTGCTTATAAGTGTCAGTATTTTGTTTGTCGTTGAGTTGTTCTCTCATTGATGTTTATTCAATTTCTAGTTTTATTCCTAATATTGGATAATATAGATTATTCCATATTGATAGAACTTTAGTAAGTTTTTCTATATGAATGGGATTTTGAATAAATAAGCATATTCACCTGCGGAAAAAGTATATTCACCGCGCAAAACGTCGCGTGCTTTTACGTGTATAATAACGATTCAATGTTTGACGTTTAGTTAGTTTTGGTAAATAACTGTTATTTTACACATATGTTTCTGTCTGGAATAAAACAATAACTGTCTTTTGTTTCGGTAAATATGTGGTTTAATTGACTTTTGAAAAACCTAGTGACATTCACTTCGGCCGTTGGCCTCAGTGAATATCAGTTTTTCAAAAGTCAATAAAACCACACATTTACCTCATCAAAAGACAGTAATTGTATAATACTGTTACAGTAGTAATTTAGTCAGATTAATTATTGCTAATCTGTTATTTTGGTTTTCACAACTGATCAACACCATATCCATTCTTTTACATTAAACTTATATTTTAGGATTCTCCACATTTCAATTCAACATTTGAGTTGCATATTATATTGCGACAACGAAAAACAGAACATATGTCCGACTAAACAATTGGATGAACATTCGTCTTCTAAGAGAGAAACAGATTCAGAATGAAAAGTCAAAGCAATGATCTCAACATAATCTATCCTAGAAATGGAGGAAACTACTGGTCTGAGAAGAGAGAATGTATTGTCGTTTCAGTAAAGGCGCGCCTGGCCTAAAAATATGTTACTATAATTGGACTTCAAACTATCACATTTCTATGTTCAGGTGGAACCGCTCAACCTTGGTCAAAACCATAATTTGGTATATTTATTTTTTTAAATAATATTCACGAGAACATGTGTACTTAGTTTCGAGTTAACAGGCGACTATAACTATGAAAAATACTATTTTATATGTATTGTCTGTCATTTGTTGTTTCGCAATTATTGGTCTTTTGTTGGGCAATGTATGACAAATATATGTTGAAAAACCTCGCCCGTAATTATAAATTATATAATTCATTGACCGCTCCCGACATGTGTTACTTCAAGGCATATTTTATCGGCGATCGGTGTCTTTCAAAATTACTGCACTTTTCTTGTATTCCTGGTGCTTTCGACTGGAGAATCGTCGTACACAAGCATCGCACAAGTTGGCACTCCGAGGCAGGTAGGGAGCAAGCAGGTGAATTGTGGTTTATTTTTATCAATAGTACCGCTTAAGTCGACGCTAGGGGCCGTCATGACCTTGTTGTAGGGTATGAATGATTCGTTCATTGTTGAAGACCCTATATCAACTGTCAAGATGAAGAACAGGAATAAAAGCCCTGTTCATTGATAATTTTCTATGTTTTCTATGTATTGTGTGCGATTTTGTCCCATGTACATCAGTTACTCCATATCCTTTCATTTTCTATTGAACCAAAATTAAACCTTATACAGGACGGACACACAGACACATAAACAATATACCCGCACTTTCGTAGACGAAGCGTTTAACTTAATAAAGGCAAAAAAAAAATCAATTCCCAATAATGAAACATTCTTATTTCTATGTTCCACTGGCAACTAAAAAATTTACATATAAACAAATCTAGTAATGTGTTTAAGATCTGGAAGATGACGGGACTAGCTCTCTCTTAGTTCTGGATTCTACCATTTCAATTCTGAATTAGTTAATGATTCGCGAAGTCGGGGAAATTGAGTAGTTTGATAGGTATTGAAGTCAAAATATTGCTTGTTTTTAGCTGTGTACTTACAACTTTTTGTTGCTTTCATTTATAGTGTTTAAATACATCTTTGTCTCTTCTTCTCTGTCGGTCGTTTCTCTGTTTGTCCAATTAACCATATTATCAACATGTTTTTTCAAATCATTTTGAGATTGTAGTCTGAAAAAAAAAATGAATTATGATCATACCTTAATTGTGTTCTAATCTTTTGTGTTTAGATTGATAGTTTCTCAGGTTATTTGGTGCTAATGTTAACGTTATATCTCTGTTATTTTACTCTCTCTTTTATCAAATTCTTATAGTTGTCCATTTGTTGCACCACGAAAGTAAAACTGAAATTAAAAGTAAAATGAAACATCTAATCTTCTTTATTTCAAAAGTCTTTAAGGTTGCCTGTCTTAAGATTTTTTCACCACATTTTGATTTTGATAAAGAAACGAGAGTCCATTATAATGTATAACCAAATTTTACATACTTTTCTAACTTGCTTTCGATGTATTCTTAAATAATTAACTTACAAATCGTTCTTAAGTTTAACGATGGAGTTATGAACCAGTTCAATGATTTTAACGTATTCATTAATCGCTGGTGTGTATTTACAAGGCAGCGAAATAGTCTTTCCTTCCGTTTTCCACTGATCTATTTTCGCTAGCAATTCTGGCAGAATCTTCGTTGTGTTCAACATAAATTGTATGTCATGGTTAAAATTTCTGTAAAACAAAGTGACAGCTGTATCATTATGAATAAATTAATCATTTGATAATCCTATATTTTTAGTGTTATATTTGATTTGTTGACATAAACCCCACATCTCCTTTTATTCTATTTGTTAAAGTGTCTCACAGACTGGCTCCTTGTCTTTTGTCTGCTTGCCTCTGACAGATATAAGGATGACTCATGTTGCAAGAGAGAGAACCGGTCTAAAGTATCTTTGTGTCCTATGATCTTTAAACAACCACGTAAAGATAAAGGAAGATCACGCCATACATATAAGTTCAAGACATTTTTCCACAGCTTTTAAATAATTTGTTTCAAATCATGCATATAAACTAACAAATTTTACAGTATTCACATATCAAACATATTGACAACATATTGACTTTTCATCTACAATTTACTCTTCAAGATAAGCACTTCATCACTTGAGCGCAAACTATTGTACTTATCAACTGAATTACTAACATAGTTCAAATTGACTCCTGGACGAGTAATCATGCGATCGTTAACTAATTTTCAAAGAACATTTTTTTTTAGATTATTAATTACAGATACAAAACTAAGAACAGAATCAGTTCAAAAAATGAAGTTAAAGACATCAAACCATTTTATCTTTATCAGCTATGTTTGAGAAGCTGAAGATAAACAAAACCATAAAACATCTTCAGATTCAGATAAAACAAAATGGGGCTTTAAGGGATTCAAAACCGCGAAAAAAATAAAATGATTTCACTGAAGACCGTGAAAAGATCCTTATAAGCAGTAATAGATTTAGCTGTGAATAAACATTAACATCCAGATGATCATTATCTGCGGTCAAAAAGAGGAGAAGAGATAATAAAGGACAATCAACAAGCATTAGTTAAAGAAACACATGACAAGAAATCAAAGCTACGAAAAGACAAGCAAGTTCATTAACACTTCATTGAAAACTAAGGAATTGAACAACACATACCAATTGCAAACTAACAAATTTAATAAAATTAAAGATAAGGATATGTGGTATAATTGCTGATGTCTATTTCTAAAGTTAATTTTAAATAAAAGATAGGCAAGCTAGCAACATGAGCAAATTACCCACACATATGGCATTTTTTGACAATCTGGTGATACTAATCACGCAAAAACTGGCATGTGAGCTGTCTAAAGCAGTTAAGGAGCTATTTTTCTTAAGTAAACACTTATATTCCACTACTTTTACCCACTATACAGTACTGACGTATTTGATTTGTTGTCTAACTTGTTCTTATCCTGAATAGTCACAAAAAAACAAAAAAACAACGGATAAATCATCTCGTATAGTATATTAAAATAATATTTTTAGCATGGAATGGATTGCTGCATTTTAACCCAAACAGTAACTGGAAGAAAATAAATGTTACCTAGTTATCTGTCATACGGTAGTAAGACACTGTAATCTAGCGGGATGTATGACAAAAAGCCACGTCCTGCCTGAATGAGTACGTTTAATTTTAGGATCCGTTTTTTATGAGTGCCATGCACTCTACACGCCAAAGAATCTTTACAATCTTTGAAAGGTTCATTGAACCAACTACAATACATGCTTCTTGTTAGAGACAACGGAACGTCTTTTCCAGTGGTAATAGTTATAACTTGTCACTGACCACCGTACAGAGCTGACTAATTTTATTTAATTTTTAATGTGTTGTAAACCAGAATTTGTATGGAATATAAATATGAGATTGGATTGAAAGCAAACAAGGATAATAAATCAATTCATATTGAAAAAGAAAACTAGTCTATTACAGTCCATTTAATAATATAGAATACCTATGACACCTAAGACAACTTTTAACTTTGTATTCTGAATGATTTCTACTTGCCCAGTTTTAAGATTTTCAGGCATTCCAGGTAGCTGTTGAATTTCTGGCAAATGTGAGTCGACGGTTCTCAAATTTTCCATATCGATGTTGTCACCAGTTTCTCTGCAAAAGAATATGACAGCAAATTTATCAAGGTTGTTAAGATCTTTTAATGGATTTTATATTGCTTTCAGTACGTACATTAGAAGACCGTGGTTAACACAGGGTTTAAGCAAGTCGATGTTGAAATTCTGGGAAATGCAAGTGAACAGTACTAAATTTTCTTTTTAAATGTTGTCACCAGTTGCTCTAAAGAAACAAAAATTGGCAGGAAATTAATCTATATTGTTAATATCTTTGAAAGGATTGTATATTGCGTCCCATAAGTATACCTGGAGACAGTGCTTTGCACGCCCTTTAACATGTTTAATTTAAATTCCAGAAAATTTTACAAATATGACTACAGACGGACAATGGACAATGTTAAACCTCAGATGAAAAGTGCGAAGCGAAAAATATATGAAAAAGTTGATAATTTTGTTAACTTTTATTTTTCACAAATTTATGAACAAACACCCTTAAAATCAATTGACCATTATAAATGTATGATGGCATAATCAGTGGGAAAATAAAACCATTATATCGATGGTTACCCCTCTTTGTTCCAGTTAAAAAGCGATTGCAACTCTAGACGTTGCAAACAAAGGTATTTGTAACGATGAAGATGTCAATATTATATTGTTATACAAATACAACAAGACTAGCAGAGATACTGATGTGTAGGAACTTACTTCAAAATAGAATTTCGGAACTTCCTTGTTATTTCTGACTCATTTTCTATTACTATGTCTTCCGGTGAATCTCTGTATTTCAGAATGCCTTCATGTTTTCCAATTACAACACTCGGGTTTGACCATTCCGACAAGAATGCAATTGGAAATTTTTCCTCTAGTACAAATTTCAAGTTTTTTTTTGCAGCGACTAATTGAGTAATCATTTCCTTAGAAGAACTCATATGAGAATCATTTTTCTCGCTCAACGCCAGAATTTGTCTCAAGAGTGAATCTTTCGCATTTGTTATCACTTTATGCAATCTTTTTTCTTCTGCATTTACAAAAGTAGGTAAATTTTGCTCAAAGTTCTTCCTTCTTGCACAGAATTTGGTCGTTGCATTCTCTTCTTGTGCCTCTCTTTTCTCCAGGTCTTCAATAGAAGTTGGTATTTCGCTCCGTATGATATGCAAGGCATCTGGTATTGAACGAATGGTGTGGCTAACATGCTTGTCGACGTCTACAGCACAATTTGCACACACAAGATGAAAACAAGTAAAGCAGTATCCATTTACATAATCATCGTGAACGGGGCAAAAATGCTTCTTATCCTCTTTCAGTGTACTACACGAATATTTGTGGATTTCAAAACATCCCTGACAACTTTTTAAGGAACAAATACCACACTGTGTAATGGTTTGAACATGTCCACATATTTTACATTCCTTTTTGGGCATTTTAGAATAGTTTCTTGCTCCAGAACTATTCTTTCTTTTGTAAGGAAGTTATCGACAGATGTCACATAAAAGAAGGAAGTAGTATTAGAAAAATAAGACATGTATCACGTGACAAAAACAGTTATAATATGATCTTTATGTTAAACAAAATTTAAAATTATACACTATTTTATCGTTTTTCGTATTTTATTAATTTGTACACTTAAACATTGGTTCACATTTTTTCACCAGACATGACCACGAAGACGTCATTTTTCAAAATAAAGATTGTTTACCTATTTAAATTTACAGGCGGAAACCCAGTTGAATAGAACAAAAGAATCGAAGCTCTTTGTTAGAGAAGGCGATAATTGATTACTGTAATGTTTACTATAGTAACAAATTTTTTAAAAGTTAATAGAAACAAATAAAATGACAGTTTTCGGCTAAATTACGAAGTATTTTATCATAAAAACACAATTTGCATAAGTTTTCAATTTATCTATTACATAATTAAGCAAAACAATTAGATATCAAGTCGACGACATGGGTGTCTATTCAGTTGGATCTAAAAAATGCATAACCTCCGATTTTTATTTTTTCACCACGGAAGGAGAACATATCAATCTTTTTGTTCCTTGATTTTCGTTTCTGCCCTTCCATTATGTAACTCAAGAAAAAATTTAAAAAAAATGGGTAACAATTGCATCGAAAAGATAAAATCGAGTGCACCTTTTTATGTTAGGGCGTGTTTGAGTTAAATATTTTGTCTTGAAAACGTATAAAGCAAGAGTATTTGATACATCATCTCGCTTCAGATTCTATTATTTTTATATATCAAGGCTACAGGTTGACTTTATAACATCGAAAGTTCACAGTACTAAAAAATTAAATATATGGGTCAAGTGAAATACTTTTCTAATGAATCACAAAAACAGAGTAGGTGTGTTCGAATGGCAAATTTTTACTAAAAGTACTTGACGACTGACTTTTAAGTTGGATCTTAAAAATGCATATCTTCGAAAAAACTTCATTTTTTGTGTGTGATAATTAGGGTTTATAGTCTTCAACCACTGAACATTTTTAGCCTGCCCTTCCACGAAATATTTAATTAGAATTTTTTTAAATGTTAATGAATTTCCGAAAATTCCACCTGACAACCGATCCGACAATAGTTTTAAGTTGACTGAATGCAGACAAGTACATTAACTGATGCTCATTAGCTAGTAGATGCATTTGTCTTTTAAAATACACCTGGCATATAAGGATCGTAATGGTGTTATGTGGATAAATTTATCGGTTTTCAAGAACTAAATTGGAAGCGCGTCATCCCTACAATGGCTTCCATTTTTACGATTGTAAAAATAAACTTGCGTTATGGGGAGATAATTTTGACGAAGTAGAATCCTGACTGTTTAGATCTGACAAATTTAGATTTAAATTTGAACCTTTTCTAATCGTAGGATTACCTTTGTCATCATATTTACCGATTGCAATATATTTTTTAAGTTTCCACTAAAGTCAAAATATAGGACACTTCATAAACATCTAAACTTTGCCTGTATTTTTCAACCTATAATGAGTAAAGTCCTAAACTATGAGAACATATGTTCATTTAAACATACTTAACATATACACACTGTGTAAATTGTTAATAAACTTGAAATTGTTATGTTGTGGCCAAACTGGTTCTTGGGGTGAACACTAAATTTTCCAAAAAATCTGGAGGCCTGCGAGACGACTTAATTTGTTTAAAATTGGTATGGACGAATACTGTTATATCTAATGCAGGGCAAGCTCATGTTGATTTTTCAGAAAATGTATTGATTTTCGAGTTTCAGTTAATTTCATGTATCTAGGTGAACAAATATCGAAGGTACAATACAGAAATTGGACAAATATGCCATTAAACATATGTATGTGACAAATCAACATGAGCTTGCCCTGCATTACATGTTACAGTATTCGTCCATACCAATTTTAAGCAAATTAAGTCGTCTCGCAGGCCTCCAGATTTTTTTGAAAATTTAGTGTTCACCCCAAGAACCGGTTTGGCCACAGCATAAAAATTTCAAGTTTATTTACAATTTACACAGTGTGTATATGTTAAGTATGTTTAAATGAACATATGTTCTCATAGTTTAGGACTTTACTCATTATAGGATGAAAAATACAGGCAAAGTTTAGATGTTTATGGAGTGTCCTATATTTTGACTTTAGTGGAACCTTAACTTCAATGACTTTAACATTTCACTTAATATTTCCAGAGTGCTCTCACTGTATTTGTTTTTGATTTTTTTAGTAATAAATTTGTAATATATATTCAATCGGGTTTTGATTATATTCTCCATCAACAAACCCGACTTTCGTTTTTTTTATGTTTACAACTGTTAACGATGAAATTAATCCCTGTAGGGAGAACGGTAGTATTTATTCATCCATAGGCGACAATACTTACATTTTCTAAATGTACCACTTTTTAATAGAAACCTGGACAAAACAGTTATGTGTGAAATTTTATTTCCGAATTTTCTAGAAATAAACAATAAATTTTAAAATCTTGCGGAAACCAGAATCAGCATAATGAATTGAAATTAAAGATATCAAATGACCTTGAGATTATGAACTTAACCAACCAAATCATAAAACCATCAAAGCTAAAACTCAAAAATATTCGTACGTTATTAAATAAAGACATATCTTCAAAATGTCAAATTAAGTGGGAGGAATATTTGGAAACAATTTATTTGGGAAAAATTTGTGGTCGGGATTAAAACAAATGATAATTGAAAATAAAGTAAAAGAATTTCAATGGAGATCCATGCGCAATATTTTATATACTGAAGGTAGATTACAAAAAAATGAAGCTATCAAATGGAAACTGCCATATTTGTCGAAATGACAACAACATAGAAACCCTACAACACTTTTTTTTTAGTTGTAGTACACCAAAATTAATTTTAAACAAGTTCCAAGAAATACTTATCCAATTAAACATAGGAATAAATAATCCTATTGTCAAAAAGGACATGATGTTAGGAATAAACACAGGAATATTCAAATATGACAATTTTCTTAACACAATTAATACATATTCTAAATGGACTCTATGAAAAATTAGGAATTCAATAAAATACAACAAAACACCTGTAGCACCACAAGATATTTATAATATCTGGAATATAACTTCAAAATAAATCTAAAATGTTTTCTTCAATCAAAAGGCACTGACATTACCGATAACACAAAATTGAAGTCAGTGAAAATGAAAATTTAGACAAAAAAATTAATATAAACTTCAAACGAAGTTGATTTTTTTATGGTTTATTAAATAAGACTATAGATTTTATTAATATTTAAATATATTTAAACATGATATAAAAGTGTAAGCCTATAATGTGTTCAATGCACATCTAATGTGTGGGTATCTTATCAATTACTTGCATTGTTGAAGTTCAGGTATATCATGTGGATATAATTTTGAAACTAATTGTAAATCCAAGGTAAAAAGTGGACTGCATATTTAGCCTTCTATTACTCCTAAATAGATAGTTCATTTTTTAAACAGGGACCCTTAACCTGTTACCTGGACGACTAAGGTAATTGTATACAGGAAATATTTAGGAATTAAACGTTTATATATGTGTTAAAAAAAACTTCAATGACTTTCACTTAACATTTCTAGAGTGCTCTCATTAGCTTTTGATTTTTTAAGTTATGCGTTTGTAATATGCTCCATCGGATTTTTCTTATTGTCTCCATCAACAAACCCGACTTTCGCTTTTTTATGTTTGCAACCGTTATCGATGAAATTAATCCCTGTAGGGAAAACGGTAGTATTTGTTCCTCTATAGGCGGCAATATGTGTGATATAAGTACTTTATTGTGTATTCTGTTTAGAAATCGAAGTCAAATGGTTGCATGACCATCTTCCGACGGAGTTTGTTTATGGTATCCATGGCCGCCGTCGTTTTACATCAAATGTATGAAAATTTGGAAGCCTTTTCGAATAATTCTCAAGAAAATACTTCAATGTGTTTAAAGATTTATACTGTAAATATACACACAACAGTTATTCATAAAGTTGACTTCCTTCACCTGCCTGCATGAGGAACACAAAATGCCAACATAAAGCCGACAAACTGTAATACTACTTTTCCCCCTATACTGTGAAAGTAAGTTATAAAGAATTCTTATGATACCATCACTGCAATGCTAAGTTATTGTGAAACTATTTGCTATAAGAAATACATGGCTGTCCCCATTATTTATCGAAATATGTTTAATATCCCCACCCTTACATGCTGGTTTACCTCTTTCTGTACTTCTTTCAGATAGGACATGATAAGCTACCTGTATCCAATCACATCTTATTTAAAAAGAATAGTATACAATACATTTCAAACAGATAAAAATGACTGTTCCATTCAACATTTGCACAAAAGTAAGATTTTTCATACTTATCTCTATTCCATGCTTTAGTACATGCCATATTTCGGTCCAAAATTTCAGAGCTTGTTACAAAATCAATTATTCTATCTTGAGGTGATAAAAACAACGATGTTGGACACTGAAAACATTAAATATGCAAAACCTACAGCTGTAAAGTTTTTGCCTTTGTTGTCTGTATTCATGTATAAAAAACTGAATTATGTCCTGTATGAGTATTTATTTCCAAAAAGAGTCCTTTCAAAGAATAGAAACTGAAAAATTAGATATATTTGATATAATAAAAGATAGAAACTATTACATGAAACACTGTTGAAATATTTAATGCATGAACTACCAAGTATGTGAACAATTCTTTAAATATGAGACTATAAATTCTATCTAAATAAACTCATCATAGATACCAGGATTAAAATTTTGTATTTACGCCAGACGCGCGCTTCGTCTACAAAAGACTCATCAGTGACGCTCGAATAAAACAAAGTTAAAAAGGCCAAATAAATCACAAAGTTGAAGAGCATTGAGGACCAAAAATTCCTAAAAGTTTTGCCATATACAGCTAAGGTAAATTTAGCTTCAACTGGGCCTCTTTTTTCCTCAGATGGACAACTTTACTTCTGAAAATGCTACTAATTTGCCCAAATATTGACCTACTCCATAAACA